CCAGTACTTTCATGGACTCGACCAGAACACAGTTGGTACGAAAACTCGGGGTTCCTGTGCTACTGACCATTCAATAAGGGTTCAGATATATGGGTGAAGCAAGGATACGACTCGACACGACAAGACTCAATGGCTAAAGGGACAGGCGCGCCGAGGACTAGCTGAGCTCCATGCTGAAAAGCAAGCATGATTCCACACACGTGTGCCAATGCCCAGGTGTGTGGTTTCTTCGTCTCTCCTCTGAGCACGCAAAACTGAGAACTGAGCCGCTGCAGCGTTAGGAGGCTAGATCACCATCACCAATCCTGCAGCACGATTCGAAGATTACTGGTTGAGAGGTGGCAGGCGCGATACCCGCAGGACCCTGGGCGGTAGGACGCAGTGCCAAAACTGCCCGGTTTGGATCTGCCTTGGTGCTCTCAGTTTGTTGTCTGGGTCCCACTCCCTCCACACTTTTGGGACACCGCGAGGCAGGGTAGTCTGCCCAGGCTGTTGTCGACCACATCAAACCCTGAATCCTTGCTGGCCGAGACTAGTTGCGATACGCTGCCGAAAATACAATGTAACCAGATCTTGGTCAATCTCGGGAAGTCGTGGCGGTGGGGAAGCCTGCCATTCCAGGTGCACAGGTCGGCTGATATAGGCACCCTTCCTGTCGCATCTGCACGAGTGGGAGGGAGGGCTGCTCAGCTGAAAAGGATGCGCGGCTGTCAGCAGTCAAAGGGGGGAGGGGGGTGGAGAAGAAAGTAAAGAAAACGGACGAGTGGGATCACCGGTCATCGCCGGCGTGTATTGAGCCCGTGAGAACATGGCAACGGTGTGTCATTCGCGATATGGTTCGGTCACCATGATGCTGTAGATGGTTGCTGTTCAGGGGGGAGGCTGTTTGTTATTGAACCTGTACAACGAAGAAGCCTCGGCAAATTAATTTTGTTGTGCTTCTAGACATAGACTGCGGGAGATGCGAAAGCTTGGTGGAAGGGCGACGAGAAAATACAGCCCGGTAGGACCTCCAGCCGTTGATGTTGATAATGGCTGAAGCCGCCGTGAGACAAGAGCAAGATGGATGGATGTCAGATGATAGATTATGATGGATGGGAATAAGGGGGCGTCGTTTGAGAAGTGGGGGCCGATTACAGGGGCTCAAGGCAGGGGCACAGGGGCACAGGGGCGCACTTTCCTTGCGGTAGGTACCCCTCGGCACAGTGAAGCAGGAACTGAACATGAGAGGCAATAGCATCGCAGATCACGATCATCTTCTCGCATCCCTCCAGGTACCTGTATACCTAAGGTACCTACCGTACCTTGATAACCAGGTGGCGACTGAGCTTCCTCCAAGAACTCGAGAACTCGACCTGAACCTGACGGGAGCAGCTCCAAGGAAAACACATCCAGATTCTGCACGCCCAAACATCTTTTCTCCCTCCCGATTGCCCAAAGTTGGACAGCTGCTCACTCCAAGCATGGGCCGATTTCTGGGTTTCTTCAATAACCACGCTTCCTTCTTTCCATCCAGTTACAGCTGAATCTCCGGTCAATTCTCTCCGACGGCCGATGATCCTTACAAGCCGCTCGGTGAAGACGACTGCCCTCGGAACCGGTGCGACAATTCTTTCTTGTTCCGAGCATCCTCCACCTTCCAACTGGGCACTGACAACGGATGGCAGGGCAGTGAACTGTTATTGGCGACGTCTCCGCCACCGCACCCTCTTCTTGACCATTTCCCGAGGGCCATCGACTGCGCCGGTCTGGCAATCACCAAACTCGCATCACCCCTTGTCGTCATCGGATGGTGTCACCGGGGAGCCTAGGCCAGCTCGGATCGAAAGCCAAGCCCACCAGCTACAGACCGGTTTCCACCACACCCCAGCCGTCGCGTCTGGCGGCGCCCATAGCAGTCTGTCTGATCGGAGCGGCATCCGATGGACCGGACCATTCGCCCCGGTACTGCCGTTTCGGTCGAGCCTGACATGATCTTCCATCATCATGTTGGGGGTTGGGTCAACCGGCGCATCTTCTGTCGGTGCCCCTTCCCAAGGCAAGACACCCTCCTTGGTTCATTTCCATTACTGCAAGATGTCGAAACATCAAATGCCCTTGTGGTGCTGACAATAATGGCTGTTGTAAACCAGGGGTTGACGCCAGGCCGCAGAAACGAACAAAGCGATCCTCTCCAGACATGAAAGAACCAGGTCTGTTCCATTCTGTCTGGTCACACAATCTGTCACTGGTGTCCCATCCATTCTAGGCTTTGTCAAAACACCCACAGGGCATGTGTCTCTCGTTAACGCCTTTGTATCACGACACTGGAAACGCGAATTCTCCACCCGAAATATGCTCTGTGAGGCTTAAAAGAGACACCATGGCTCCCGTTGCAGGGCGAACATGAACGATCCAAACTTGCACTCATCGTCTTACTGGACTCATACATTGTAAACATTCACACTACCAATACGGAAGTACACGTCACCCCAAGAGATCAGTCATGATGGCACCCTCAGTCGTGGCTCGCACCGACGCTGGCACGACCGACACCACCAATGAACCCCACAATCGTACTGCACCCATCATCATCTCCGTTGTATCACTCGTTCTCATATTTTCATGTGGCATTATGCTCCTCCTCTGCGCACGCAGGCGGCGACGCGAGCTCAAGGCATTTGACCTGGAGCGCCAGGAATGGCGAGAGTTCTATCTCACATATCTGGGCACAGTCAAGTCGCTGGAGCGCCAGCTCAGCTGCTGTACCTGCGAGCCCGCTCTCCCCTGGGACACACGCGGCGGCACAAGACCGAAACGTGACAATGCGGATGATTTGAGAGCCCCTGTGACTCAGGCACCGGATCCCGCGTCGAATACTGACCACTTCTCTCCCATTCTAGAACGTTGGCATCCAGAGCAGCAGGAGGAAGGATTGCAGATGACATTTTGGGAAGAAACTCCAAGCAAGCGCCCCTCTCCGCGGTTACCGCCCCTACGAGAGGACAAAGATGGGGACGCAAATCCCTTCGTGGTGGGAGAGGACTCTGACGACGAGGCGAATGCAAAGGGCGATAAGAGGTAAGTGATAACATGGGAATACAAGTTGCGGGTTGATATCTTTGTGAACCTGCAGGCAGGTTCAAGGCAGCCAAATCATACAAGGTAAGTTCATCAAGTTGATACGTCGCCACGTGACTGCAACAATCGTGGTCCGAGGACAGTTTACCATTGAAGAGCTTTCAACTACTGAAGCGGGATCTGAACATTCTGGACTGTTTGTTGTTGGCCTTTGCTCTACTCATCAAAACTAGCTATCTCTTCTGGGGAGAGAGGCGGGGAAAGCTCATTTGGGAGAGCCGTTCCTGGCGCCAGCGTCGGCGGTTTTCGGTTCTTGATCTCCCGCATGCCTGCTTTGGACAGGTTCTTCCACCTCAGGCCTTGGCGTTTTTCGCTGTCCTTCCACGCCGTCTTAAACTCCGGCGTGATCTCTTTGTAGGGCGGCTTGGTCTCATACTGCTTGCTCGAGTAGAACCACGGCTTCCACACGCTGCAGGACGGAGCATGGAGTTTTCCCCCCATGCCTTTGCAAAGCTTGGCTAGCGTCTCAAATATGCCGCGCTTCATCTTGGGCGCGGGCGCCCCCTCGTGTAGCGCGCGGGGTTCCTCGTCGGTGCTCATCTCCCGCACCTTGCTGTTGCGCGGCTCCGTCGCCTCGCTCTCGTTCTTGTGCCGCAGCAGATCGTGCGGCACGGGTCTCGCGCTGCCGCGGTCGAGCTCGTGCAAGACGTCCGCGTCGGCGGGGTCCGCGCCGCGCCGCTCGACGGGCGGCAGCTGCACGTCCTGTGCGCGATCTGGCCCATCTTCTCGTAGGTGAAGGCGTTGGGGTCGCTGGCTGTGGGATGGCAGTCTTGGGGTACGCCGGGCACGGGGACTGTGGTGACAGGAGCGGCGGTGATGCTGCCGGCGAGAAGCGTGCCAGCGGCCACGGCAAGGATGGCGGGTTTCATCACGAAGTTATGCGGGTTTGATACGATGGCAAGTAGGACGCAGTGACGATGGTACCGGGGGGGGAGGCCGGAAACAAAATAGAAAGCGGCATCGCCTGCTTTATACATGGATCGTAGTGGCCTTGATGACCGAACTCAATCCGCTGTGACAGGCACGAGAGAAACCTTGCTGTACCTACCGGTCAGCAAGTATCACCACGCTGGCTCATCCAAAGTTTTGGGGGCGGCAAAGAGGCAGAGCAAAGTTTGTTGTGGTTCCAACCTGGGACCCGGACGGCTTAAAACACGCCGACGGCAAAGGTTCTCCCCGAATACCGCGAACCTAGACCAGTAGCACCTAACGCCTGCAATGCATCGATATCCATCTACTCGCGCTGCGAGGTCGTGCCCCTTAGAAGAACTTGCTCTTCAGCGCCCCCGTGACCATGTTCCTCTTCTGCTTGTTCACAAACTTCCCCACGTCGTCGGCCCATCCCTGACTTTGGTTCTGGAGGTTGTCCATGCTGTCACCCATGATGTTGAGCTTCTCCGTCCGCTCGTTGAGCTGTCGGAAT